TAAAAATGAAGTTTGACGATTTATAAATTTGGTGAGAGGAAGCTAAGCCCATGTTTGACAATCTTTTAATTTAATTTTTGCTATAGAATCATTTTCAATCACACATTCATACAATAAAATATTCTACACGTAAATCTAGATTCACAATCGTTTTAACCTAAAGATATTGAAATAATCTTCGTTTGGTTGGAGATGGGAATCAGTTACGCCCCTGTTAGACAATCATTATTTGAAAACTCTTTTTTATATATACTTATTTTCAACCATACATTTACACACTAAAATATTTTACACGTAAACTCAAAATCTTCTTCCTATTTTTAATCATATATTCTCCTAAAATTCACTATTCAAACACATGATTTTTTTTTCCCATTTAATCATATTTAACCACACGTGTTGGGCTAAGTGTATTAGTTCTTGTTTGGTTTCCATTTTTTAAAATTCATTTTCAACCATACATTTTTAGCACCCACAATTTTTATAACTTTTCAAGTATATATTTCATCAACTTTTATTAAAATCTACTAAAATATGAGTTTTAACAAAATTAAAGAGCGGCTTAATAAAACTTAGCTCCTGTTTGGTGAAAATTAAAATTAGATTTTTATTCGATTGTGATAAAAGTTGATAAAAATATGTTGGTGAAAAATCGTGGGTCACATTGGTTAAAATTAATTATTGATTTTGACATAGATTAAAATATTAATTTTAAAGAATAATACGCCCTTATTTGGTAATGATTAAAATCAAGTGTTATTTCTATTATTTTCGGAGCAAGATATAAAGAGACCGATATTCATTTTAAGAAAACCCGATTCATTCAAATCGGATCTAATCGAGCTAAGTGGCCTCTAGCCAGCCCACAAAAGGCCCCTCAATTTTTCTTTCTGTATCAAATAGTCATATTTTTTTCCTATCGCATACGTATGGTATAGTACTAAGTTATCCGTTTGATTTTCTTTACTTTACTTTAATTTATTTTTCATACTCATTTTCAACCATATATTCACAAAATAAAATATTGTATACATAAATTCAATTTTTTTTTTAAAATTTTCAACCACACATTCTTTAAATACCACGGGGTCGGGGGCTAAGTGGATTTGGTAAATTGTATTACATGGGTCCTATGAAGAGGATAAAAATTATATTTTAATAAAACTTTACCATTGGACATGATTTAGTGCCTGTTTGGTAGCAATTTTGGCCCAATTTTAATTAAAATTGTGACCGTTTAATGTTGTAAGTGGGACTCGCATGTGAGAGGGCCAGTTAAACTTTGCGGCCGACTTTGATGTTAATGGTCAGAAAATTCATTTTTTTTGCTTAAAAAAATTGCTACCAAACACAGTCTTAAGCTAGATCCCAAGGCGCCAAACTCTGCTACCGTCTTTTGAGGGATTTTCATAACCGAAGATTTAGCACTTAACCACCTTAAGAACAAATCCCCATGATCCCATATCATTTGCTTACCGCACAACCTTCAAATTCTACAGAATATACAATCCATTCCCGATTTCAGCTTAGAATTCAATAGCGAAGTAGTAGTAAGCGATAACAATGGATAATCAGGATATAGATGCACTGCAGCGACTAGTTCCAAAGCTTGTGAACAACCCGACCCTCCTGTCTGATCCTCTTATCGACTTCTTCTGTGATTACATCGAAAGGTTATGCATCCATGAATATTTAATTAATTGCGTTCGCGTTAATTAATGTATGTTTTAGTAGATATCATGTTATGCTTTTGATATGAAATTAATGTCAGTTTTAGGGAGTGTTCATGTACGAATGCAGGCACGTGTATCAATTGATGTAAGTTTTGGTCACACACACACACACAAAATTCTAT